GGTACCTTGTTCCCTACAAGGCTCAAGTATTCTGCAACATGCTACATGTAACCAAGTATCCTGTCTACACTAGCTAGCCAAAACAACTATTTCATATTAGCACTACTGATGTAGTTCCCTAATTGGCATGTGAAAACTCGTGCACAGAAAACAAAACCATTTTTCTTGGAACTCAGCTACATGAATGGAGTACAACTTCAGTAAATAACCCTACAAAAAAAGTTAAAAAATCAGAAATATATTCATGCTGGTTTAGATATACTTTATCACAGGGGCAATAAAAAGCACTTGCTTTTGCTACCTATTTCTCCACATAGCAGTTAATTTCTGTGCAATGATTTACACCAATCCAAACCAAAACCTGCTCTTAAAACTATGAAACTTATTCAGTGAGGCCCAGAGTAATGGAAAATTTTAATTAAGGGACTCTTAGAAGTCTAAGGATGACACATAGTGCATCACTTAAAAAACCCAAAACCCAAAAACCAACAACAAAAACACACACACACAAAAAAACACAAAAACCCCCACCAAAACACCCTACCACATATCAAGAAGCACTAAACTGAATATAATCTTCCTCACTGTTAAAAATACAGTTCACTCAGTTTAATAGCTCGTTGCCTATGCATTTATAGCCAGAACAATAATTTGTCTGCTCCTGCCACTGAAAATGTGGGCAGATGTTTAACATTAGAAATTAACATAAAGTAATTTTACAAGCAGGATACATAAGGAGAACATGATACAGTGAAAGAGAAAATTCTCAAAAATTGCTCTGAAATTTGAAATAAAACAGAATAGAAATCTAACAATAGTTACTTAAATTTGCTTTATTTTTAAGCCTGGCAACAATGACAGAACAAAGTTAATTATTTCAGTCAATGCTAACACTCTGATTAAGAGCTTCCCAGCTAAGACATATCTGGTCCAATATGGCTTTAATGATAATAACTGTTTTTACTTCAAGTAACTGCTATGAAAAATTACTTAAAATTACTTCCAGAATACTTAGAATGCCCCAAAACAATACATAAACCCACTTACATCTTCCAATTCAGTTGCTGCAATGGAAGTGACGTATCCAGCAAACCTGCTGTCACTGCCACCATAAATTTCTTGGTCATAATATCCTGTGGAATCAAGGCCTACTCCTTGTGCTTCATCAAGAGCAGGTTTCTTTCCTTGAATTTCACGAATTTGTGCTTCAATATCTAGAGTAAAGACATAAAAACAAGGTCTTCTTACACATACACACAAAATATAATACTCATGTTACTGTGTACAGCAAAAAGTTTTTCACCCAATATCAAAGACGATCATTAGAGAAATAAACATATATGACACATAAAACTAGCAAATCATAGTATCTATAAGCAGCTTTTTCTTGAGTTTAATATTATCTAGCACAGACCTCTTTAACTGTATGGCCTAGAGCAAACTACTCAAACCCACTGTTATCATATCTCATCTTCCAACAGAGATAGCAGAGAAGCTAATTTACACCACAGCAACATTTCTCAACACCACACTAACACAACACTTCCTCAACAAATGTAATCCTCTCATTAAAAAAAGCCTTTCACAATGATTTTGCTAATTCAAACAAATCTCTTCAAAAGAGCTGCTGCACTAGCTCTCAGATCTGGGAACATTTAATAAAACAACACTGTATTGTGTTTTCTAACACACTGCAAAGCTGTATTATCTCTGAATAAATAAATAAACCCAACTCTAATATGCCACTGGGTATCAAGTTAACAACAAAAAAAGTTAGGACCAGTTTCTTTTCACTTTGGCAGTTCAAATGTTCTTCACTCATCACTACTCCTGCCTGCACCACCATCTTTGAAGAGTCTACTCTTCCACATAACAAAACACCCTTAATGTATCAGGATCTGACTCTAATCAAACTCTGGTGGCCACCTGTGACCTTAGACATTTGATACTTTCAGCAAGAACATTAATTTGTTAATCCAGAAAACAAGGAACCAAATTAAACCAGGCCTTCCTCCAAACTCTTGTAAACCAACAGGCTGCAGTAATCCAACTGCCTGCAACAAAAGTAACCGGGATGTAGGTGAATTAAGGCACAGCTAACTCCATGAAAATTATTACTGTTTCCATATGAATTCTATTTGAGTCAATAGGTATGTAAAAACAATTATCCATACGATGTCAATTTTGGAAGATCAAACAATTAGTTTCGTGGCCAAAATCATACCTGAGAGCTGCATTTCATGGCTGCAGGAATACAAAGGATCATGCTTGCTTGAGAGGGAGAACTGGATTACAGGTTCTTTACATGTTCTCAGAAGACCCTTCCAGCCTCAGTGACTCTGTGACTCACCCTCTCCCACCTGAGGTGGTATTGCCTGCTACATTAACTTCAGGGAAATCTGCCAATTTACAAGAAAGCTACAGGAAATTCTGTTCACAAATTATCTCCTATCTTGACTATTCACTAGCTGTTTACTCCTACTGGTGCTCATTTCTCTTTTTCAGCATGAATAAATTCCACAAGGTTTTCCCACCAAGAAACTATGCCACAACGTCTGCTAGGACAAAAACTAAACTTAGAACTGCTAAACCAAGTTATTGGATCAGAATAGTTGAGTTTAAAAGTTTAAACTGTCAACCCCATGAAGTTCAAGACCATGTCAAGGCTGGGTCCTCTTCTTATCACAGACTGCCACTAACCAGAAAAACACCAACAAAAACAAACAACCACAACCCACCAATGTAAGCCAAATTCTGCCTCCTGTACATGTTTTCTAGAGAGGTAACAACATAGTTTCACCTGACAGATCTTAGCCATATAGCTATGGGTGAGAACAGCAGGACTAAGTATTCACATCCAGCCTGCAGGACTGGCAGGTAAAAGCACTGACGTCACCTGAACCACAGTAAACCTGACAGCAAATCAGCAATTCCTGCAGTGGTCCAGGGTGGAAAACCAG